AATGTCGTGTTTGGCTAGTATACGCTGGAGCTCGAGACGCCCCGCGGACCCAAATCGTTTGCGTACGACCAAGTGTTTAATCCCTCCAACACACAGGTGCGACGAGCGATATTGCCTCGTCTTCAATGTGATGCAGGACCAAGTGTTTGAAGATACAAAAAACCTACTGCAGTCGGCCCTCGACGGGTCGGTGCTGCCCGATCGCCTGGTGGAAATTCTCCAAGTGTAATGTAGGTACAACGTGTGCATCTTTGCCTACGGCCAAACGGGCTCGGGCAAAACGTTTACCATGACGGGTACTGGCGTCGTCTTGGTTGCGCTTGCCCTTATTTTTATCTGATTTAGGCACGGCCGACCACCCTGGCATCACACCACGCCTCATTGACCTCATGTTCAAGTCTGGCGATGCGCTCAAGGGTGCGCCGAGCCTCTCTCTCGTCTCAATATATATTGGACGAGGTAGGTAACAATACCATCAAGTATGAAGCGTACATGCTGGAGCTCTACAACGATGCCCTCATTGATCTCTTCTTCCAACTGGACAACCACCCGGACAAGGTATGTGGGTTGAGAGTTAAAAGTTTTGACGAGGACTAGGCGCCAAAACTGGAGATCAAGAAGAACGACAAGGGCATGGTCGTCGTGCAAAACATCGTTGTCAAGCCGTGTACGGACACCCACCAAACGCTCAAATTGTTTGATCGTACAATGCAGAAACATTTTTTACTGAAAACAGCAACTGAAAAATTGATATAGATGCCAACAAGAAGCGCCAAGTCGGCGCGACCAAAATGAACGCCGAGAGCAGTCGGTCGCACTCGGTGTTTACGATTCTGATTGAAAATTACAACAAAACTACGAAAAAGGTATGCTTTGGACTCGCTTACCTCGGCCATGTACGACGACAAGACGTAGACGTCGGTGGGCAAACTCAGCCTCGTGGATCTCGCGGGCTCGGAGCGCGCAGGCAAGACGGGCGCGACCGCCGATCGGCTCAAGGAGGCCCAAGCCATCAACAAGAGCCTCAGCGGTAGGTGCGGGTCCGTGGACAGGATTGAAAAATGCGATCGATTTAGCCCTGGGCGATGTCATTTCGGCCTTGTCGACCAATGAAAAGTTCATCCCGTACCGCAACAACAAGGTACAAGTCAAAACGTCCAACGGCGGAGGTCGGATTCACCCTTCATCTTTGTATCCCTTACTAGCTCACGCAACTCATGCAAGACTCGCTGGGTGGCAACGCCAAGACGGTACACTCGACTCGAGCCGACCGCCATGGAGCGATGCTTGTTGATGTAGCTCATGTTTGTCAATATTTCGCCGGCCGACTACAACCAAGTTGACTCGACCAGACAGCAGTCGAGGCCCTCACTCTTTGGATTGAATAGGAGGAGACACAAACCAGTCTCTCGTACGCGTCGCGGGTCAAGCTCATCACCAACAATGCCAACAAAAACTCGGACAGGTCACTCCACCTTTGCTGCTTGGATCGCTAAACGTGCGTAGTGAGGAGGTCGCCAAGCTCAAGGCCATCATCAAGCAGCTCAAGGCGGGCCACGACGTCGACCTCGATTCAATCGCCGAGGGTGAAAGCATGTAGCCATTTCAACACCTTACTACTCCCAGCTCTAAGGGTCTGGCTTGGATAATTGCAGACGATGGTTGATCCGAAAGATTACGACATGGTCCCCTTGAATGTTTGGACGTATTGTCTGCGTGTCGAGAATGCCGTCCATCTCTTCCGTTAAACGCTTTCCCAAGCAGGATGTTCTGCATCGTGATCATTGCAGATGTGAACCACAGCTACCGGTATGTGTGCAACATTGTTTGAGAGTTCCAGAGCCAGCTTCTTCCTTGCTGTGCTTGAAGCATCCCGGCTACTTTCAACGAGACGATACAGAGCAATGTCTAAGACCTTGCGTGTACAAAATTGTCTTCATTTACGAATAGCTTTCGACTCGCTTGTGCTGGTTCGTTATGAGGCCCCATAGCTGTCGAACGTAAACTGTCGGTGGTCAGCGATGAGGTCGAAAGCGTTGAAATGGGCGCCAAACCCCAAAACCCACTAGCGTCTGTTTTTAAACGATTCCGCTTCTTTTAATCCGTTCAACGCTCCAAGAGTATACAAATACACTATATAATCAACTGCCGCGGCAATAAAAAAAGTCTCTATTTTAAAACAATTGCCCCGGTCGCTCGGTAAGGTGCGATTCGCGCAAGTCCGCTGCCGAATTTGGATCCTAGAGAGGCACGATCTTGGCCCGAGGCCGGTCCCAACGACGACGCCAGCGCTTCCTATATCCACCGGACCTGCTTCTTTCTTTCTATTATCCGCCAGTACGCCTTTCGTCCTGCACATATCCTCTTTCCAGAACCTTGACGTCGGCCTGCACGCGTACAATGCATCCGCAACCTTGGCCCGATCCTCCATTTTAAATTCGGCACATGCCACACGATACCACGCCCTGAGCGTTTTCGCGCACGCCGTCGTCGTCGACATACGCGTAGCGCGCACACCGTACTGTCGCGCCATAGTCGTATGCGATACCGACCTCTCTGCTCCCTTGTGGCGCATCGCAAGGCCATCGAGACCACCGCCTCGATGCTCTTATACATGGCATGTGCCATGTATAATCCCAATCAAGTACGCATCGCACTTAAAAACCGAGCGGGTTTGTTTGGAGGCGAGAGCTTGCTGGTGGCCAGCCAACCATTTTAGGCCATTCGGCGATAGATTTCACTGGTAGTTTTGAAGTGCAATCTCAACATGGTACGCCCCGCGCATCTTAGAGGTGTCTTATCGCGCTGTGCTCTTAGTCGCAGCAATTTGTGCTCTTCGAGTCCGCGTCGGGCTACGCCCTCTTTGAAGTCGTCGAAGCCGAGCAGATTGGCCAGCTCTTGGACCAGGTCCAGAAGGGCGTGCAGGACCTCGCCAAGTTTGGCGCCGCCGTCAAGCTCAAGGCCTTCTCGCCGTTCACGTCGGCCGAGTCGGCGCTTGAGAACATCAACTCGATCTCGGAAGGTCTCGTGACCGACGACCTCAAGGCGTTTTTGGAGATGAACCTCCCGACGTCGTCCAAGAAGGCCAAGTACACGCTCGGCCTCACGGACAAGGGCCTCGCGCAGTCGCTCACGGACGCGCTCAAGATCCCTTGCAACACGAACGAGACGTCGCTCGAGGTGCTCCGCGGCGTGCGCCTCCACTTTGCCAAGTTTATCAAGGAGCTCGACAACGGCAACCTCGCCAAGGCGCAGCTCGGTCTCGGCCACTCGTATTCGCGTGCCAAGGTCAAGTTCAACGTCAACCGCGCCGACAACATGATCATCCAAGCCATTGCGCTCCTCGACCAGATGGACAAGGACGTCAACACGTTTGCCATGCGCGTGCGTGAATGGTACTCGTGGCACTTTCCCGAGCTCGTCAAGATCGTCAACGACAACTACGTGTACGCGCGCTGCGCGTCGTTCATCAAGAACCGCAACACGCTCTCGGACGACTCGATCGAGGCGCTCGCCGCCATCACGATGGACGAAGACAAGGCGACGCAGATCGTCCACGCTGCCCGCACGTCCATGGGCATGGACATGTCGGAGATCGACATGATCAACGTCGATGCGTTCACGACACGCCTCATCAAGCTCGCCGAGTACCGCCGCCAGCTCCATGGCTACCTCGTCTCCAAGATGAGCGTGGTCGCGCCCAACCTTGCCGCGCTCATCGGCGAGACGGTCGGCGCGCGCCTCATCTCGCACGCTGGTTCGCTCACGAACCTCGCCAAGTGCCCGGCCTCGACGGTCCAGATTCTCGGCGCCGAGAAGGCCCTCTTCCGTGCGCTCAAGACGCGCGGCAACACGCCCAAGTACGGTCTCCTCTTCCACTCGAGCTTCATTGGCCGCGCGGCGTCCAAGAACAAGGGCCGCATCTCGCGCTACCTCGCCAACAAGTGCGCGATCGCGTCGCGTATCGACTCGTTCATTGACGAGCCGACCACCAAGTACGGCGACCAGATGAAGGAGCAGGTCGAGGAGCGCCTTGCGTTCTACGAGTCGGGCGCGGCGCCGCGCAAGAACCTCGATGTCATGCAGGGCGTCGCCGATGCGCTCAAGCAGGCGGCCGCCGCGCCGCTGAAGAAGGAGAAGAAGCGCAAGAGCGAAGACAAGTCGTCCAAGAAGTCGAAGAAGGCCAAGAAGGAAGAGGTCGAGGAGGAAGAAGTCGTCGTTGAGGCGGACAAGAAGAAGAAGAAGAAGAAGAAGAACAAGGAGTAAACACACTTGCCACAAGTTGCGTCCGCCAACTTGAGATGGGATAAATACAACTATATATACTACACGTGTGCCTTAGTCGATAGCTTTGAGTTTGCGTTTTGAGGTCGAGGCCGGGCATGGACGTGAGCAGCAAATACGTGCCCGGCCTTTCTGCCCCGTGATACGAAGCCACAGGACGGGGCGGCGCATCCACCTTGCAAACGGTTCGTCTGGCTCGTCGTCGGCGCATTGGCCCACGTCTCGCGTCTCGCGCACTAAACCTACAAAAATTGAGCATCTCTCTAGTCATTCCAAGGTCCACCATGGTACAGCTTCCACTACTCGATCGATGCCAGCCATTGTGGCGTGCGAGGTGCCGTTCAAGCGGCTGCCACAGCGCTGATGGCGCCTCATGTGCTCGGTGCACAGACGATTTGGCAGTCGCGCTCTCGACCTCGGCTCGTAGCATCAAGGTGCTCAACGCCGAGTACCCTGACGCGACGGGTGCGCTTGCGTTAAAGACCCATAACCGATGTATGGCCCCTTGCGACTGTGCGTCGTAGCATTCTGGGTCGGTTTGATGGGAACGTACAGCGGGTAGGCGGGAGGAATACATGCGGTGGTGGGCACGGGGCGGTGCGTTCATAAATGGCATGGGACACCTGAATTCTTCTCTAGTATGCATATCTCTCTATACACTACACCTACGTCGGTCACTCACTCGATCGACGTCATGACGATCATCCGGTGGCGTCGTCGACCATGTCTTTGGCAAACTCGTACGCGAGCCAGCCTACAAAGCACCGCATTCTACCAACCGGAGGAGCAGGTTCGTGTACCGAGCAGTGTCGAAAAGGCCGACGGCGCCATCCCCCGTAGCGTTGGCCGTGCGAGCGCGGCCGCTTCCTTTAGACTCTCGTTGCTATGAATGGTGATGTCAGGCTCGCCGCCAGGAGGCGCTGCCAAGTACGTACAAGGGTGCTTGCTCAAACGGCGCAATGTAGTGGGTCGCGACTTCACCGACAAGACCGGATGTCGCCGCCGCCGCGACGATGCACGCGCCCGTCACCACCTACAGGTTCATGAGGCTCAGTGGCGGCCATGGCTTCAGTCGACCGCCGATCGATCCTAGCATCCGTGTCCTTAGCGTGGGCTATACAACGAAATTGATGGCGTACTTCCTTGTGCTCACTGGGAACCACCGACTCGAGTAACGTTGCTTTGGTCCCTTCGTAGGTGCTAAACATGGCCACGTGCGTCGTCGTGTGGCTGAGCAGCACGCCCCGCAGGTTGTAGCCGGACGTCGCGGTCTGCTTGATGCGCATCAAGAGCTCTTCGGTCGCTGTCCATAGCGAGCCATGCAGCGCACCGGCGACGCCACCCGCAACAAGCGCGACGCCAAAGGTGCAGGCCACCACGTTCTACGCGGCAAATGAGGTCCTCCGTCGTGTGTCGAAGAGCATGGCAGTACCTGCGGCGTCTGCGACGGCGTCAACGCATTTGTCGATAGCTCGTAGCTCGCCCACGTCGCGCTGCCGAGGAGACTCGAGCGCACGAGGTTGGGCACCCATGTCCACATGGCCCACTTTGTCAGCGTCGCGACCTTGGCCTGGGGCGAGCGGTGCTGGTCCAGCTGCTCCTTCGCCTCCTTGACGTACCCCGTCACGTCCATGAGCAAGCTACATCGTAGCGTCATCGGCCATGTCGCGGTCGCTGTCTACCTGAGGTTGTCGGACGCCGACGCGACGGCCTTGACGGGCACCGTCCGCGGGAACGAACCGACAATCGGGTTCTGCAAGCGCAGCCGCATGACCATCGAGCGCAGGCCGCTGCGCATGGCGCCGCCGACGGCCGCGTCCGACGACGTGTTGCTCTCGTCGACGTCCATCTCCACGTCGGCAATTCTGCGCCAAATCGGCCACTGGTCATGTCGAGATGCGGTTGTATCCTTGTTGTAAGGCCTAAATAGGACTTTATGGCTGTTTAAATCGGACAAAGCCGAATATCCTGACACCGGATCTGCGACACGCCACTTCAACGTCATGCAGCTAGGTTCTGTGGTGTCCTGCCCGCGCAAGCTGCCCGCGCAAGGATATGAAAGGACAAAGCTCGACTATCATAGTATGTAGATAGTACTCTGTAGCACTAAACAAATCTATAGATTGTTCAATGCTAATCTCATATGACTGTCTAGAGTCGTCGCCACGTAGCACTATCTCTCGCCTCGTAGTACCATGCTACTGGCGAGCGGGCCACAAACACTTGAAGCACTTGGACGAGGTTCTGATGTCGCTCATTTCTCTCATGCTTATACATTTAGATCCTAGCCAGCTCTCTTGGGGCTTCTTGGCATCATTGTGCGACGTGAGGGCATCCAGCGCACCCGAATTCAGCACCCGGAGAGCAGGTGTTCCGACGTCGCTTGTGTAGCAACCACGAGATGCACGACGATGATCCAAGTGTAAATCAAACGTATAGCCCCATTCTTATCCATAGTTGATGGACCAAGCATACTTGTTGGCGTTATCATTTGGCGCTAGCGACTGCGCGCTGACGTTGTCTCGGCCTCGGATGTCCACAAGCAACTGCTCTTGGTCCGTGGCAAGCTCGCGCTGCCCGAGCACAGTCTGCTACTGGGATCGCTGCGTGCGCCCGAGGTGGTGTCGCTGCTTCTGACGCACCTTGCGTCACCGCCGCGTGCGGCCTTGCGGTCGATCGAGCTCGCGTCGGCGATGGCGCTGGCGTTTGAGCTGGACACGAAGGTCGTGGTCCGTGCGGTGGCTCGTGCGTGGGTCGCCGGTTCAATTCCCGAATCGGTGCTGGCAACCACGCTTTATCACATGCACTCGGCCGCGTTGTCGCTGGCGGCCATCGAGACGGCGCTCGAGCTGCGCGTGGCGATCCCAACGTGGCTCCGCGACAGTGTGGTGGCGACCGACGGGCCGCAGCTGCTCTCGCTTCTGCTCAAGTACGGTGCGCTGGACGATGCGCTCTCGACGGCGGATGCGCTTGTGCCTGCGACCGAGCCATTGACGATCGACTCGTTTGGCAGTACTAGTTCATCAGTCCACGCCTCGTGGCTGCCGGTTGCGCTGTTGGATACGCTCTTGGCGTCGGCGATGCAAGTGCCAGCGTTGACGTCGCAAGCCAAGGCGCTCGCGACCAAGGTGGAAGCGCACTTTCGGTATGTAAAGGCGCTCGATGCAGTCGTTCGCGTCTAGTCTACGGATCTCTTCTTCTTTTCAATACGACTTTTCTTACACGTGGTAATACGATGTACAACATGTCCTATGTCGAGGTCGTCGATGGGATGGAACAAGTTGTTTATCCATGTACGACCCGGTCCACAACATTTTGCGTGGAAGGCAATGGGAGTTGTCTCCATATGGAAAGTGACTTGACGATCACGCGACGAATGATTCGACAAAGAAAAAGTTGGTGTCGTATCCGCCAGAGAGCCCACGACTCTCAGTCTAGATTGTAGCAGCAACAAAAGGACATTATTGGTTGGCACGGGGAATGTTTATTGTCGCCGTCTGATCCAAGGACAAGAAGAGGCTGGGACGTCGATAGTTACATGAACCGGTACCGGGTAGGTTCGTCGTGCTGTTGGGTGTCGTGATGTGATTGGATATAAATCAGCCAATGAAAGGGGGGAACGAGACGCCGATCATTTTTCAAAATGACGTCCAAGGCGGGGAAGGAGGTTGTTGTTGTTGAAGTGGGTCGTCTATTACAATAGATAAAACTATGCTAAATAAAATTGTCGGACTTTCTTCGTTGTGTGTACTCGGTTGCGGGGAAGGAGGTACTGGACGTCCATCGATCTGGAGGCTCAAGGACGCATATGCGACGATATAGTTAGCGCTTCTCTATGCTGCGCGAGACGGTTGGCTGGAGGACGTCATCTCCTATCTTAACGACCGCGTCGACGTCAACTGCGCAAACTACGTACGTCGGATCTCCCTCCATCGATGATCCACGGAGATTATTGATATGTATATTGGTGTAGAATGGTGAAACACCATTGCACTGGGCTTCTTCCAGAGGTCATTTGGAGATCGTCCGCCTTTTGCTTGCGAAGGGCGCGGCCATCGACGCCAAAGACAACGTACGTTCATATTCTCTTCATACATCGCGCTGCGAGAGAGATTCCAACAACATTCTTCCTCTTGCAGGTTGGCAAAACGCCGCTCATGTTCGCAAAACAACATGGTCAAGACAACGTCATCGCGCTTTTGCACGAGGCTGAAATCAAGATGCAGGTATTCTGACGGCACGATATGGGTTGTTTGTGACCGTGTCTTGCCAGACCGTGCAAGACGACGTCGTTGCGTGTGCCTCCATGCCCGCTACGAACGCGTATTATGTTATGTCTGTAGCACTCGACGCCCGAAAGCCTTGACGACGCCAACAAGCTGCTGAGTCGCAACAGCTCGACGCTTAGCGACGCCTCGGCGACGACCACGTCATCGTCCGTCGCTTCTGGGACGTCCACCGGATCCACGGTGGGCTTAAGAACAAATCTCGCGCAACCTCTCATATGTGTCATCATTCTTGTAGACGTATTCGTCGTGGTCCAACTCGAGCCTCGTAAACACCCGCGTCGCGTGCCAGCTCTGCCGCGCCTCCAACTCTCTGCTGGAGTCGCACTGCGACGCTTGTAAGGGGCCATTAGCTTCCGTTGCGTCCAAGCTCAAGGTTCTTCTAAAGCGTCTGGCTGTTGCCAAGAAGAACGGGTTCAAGATCGACGACGGTCTGGTCTGCGTCTGTCGCGAAACACACCACAGTATGACGACCACGATCTGCGATGAGTGCGACGACGAGCTTCCGGACGATCAAGCGAAGCTGCGCATCCTACTGCTGCGTATCGAGCAAGCGTCCCAGGCGTAGGTTATCGACATGGTTCCGACGATGGACTGCGTCTATATGTATGAGAAAGAAAATGCAATCGTGATGTATAAATCCTTGCCTTTTCTCAACATCCAATGTCATGACGTGGCGCGCCACGCATCAAGTCCGTTTTCTCGTATTGGATTGGTTGAATTATAGCCAATGAGAGAAGAATATCAAGTGGTCGACTTTGATCCTCTGCCTCTGGAGCTACTTGCTCTGGACGTCGTACAAGGCCAAGCGCCACGTGTATACATCGCCCTTGGGCATCAGCAGTGCCGGCCTTGCGATTGTGAGCTTTGCGATGCTTGCCATCTCGATCCTCGGTGGATTCCAAGGCGATGACGGCGTCGCGGCGCTTACGTGCCTCACTTATGTTGTGGCCGCCTCTGTCTACTACTACTACTCTACGTGCAAGGACCGACAGTCCGTGTGCAAAACCATTTGCCTCGTCTCCAAGGACGAATATGCCTCGATCTTTCGGTTGACAATCATCAAGTTCAACAACAACAAGCGGCGCATGGTACACCAGAACCAGCGCACATCGACGCAATGGACCAAAGTCGTCTCGCTACTGCAGCCGGCGTCGTCGCTCAACTCGAGCAACCGCGTGAGCTACGTCGACGTCGGCGTGAACCGCGGCTCCCGGATGAGGTGGAGTCACCTCCGTCGGTTGTCGATAGCACAGAAGTGAAGACGCAATCTTACCTTTTAACCAATAGCAAGCGACCGATACGCGACAAACAAAACCCATCCATCCATCCATCCATCCAAGAATCTCATTTTTGCATTGTGATCCTCTACCCTACCCTACCCTACCCTACCCTACCCTACCCTACCCTACCCTACCCTACCCTACCCTACCCTACCCTACCCCGGGTACCACATGCTCTGTACGGTGGACGAGCCATCTCTCGCGACCCTTTGAAAAGACTTGCATGCATTTTCCATAGTGAACGCGGCCACTGGCAGGAGCGCACCGCGTCGCAGAGGCCCACATTGTTTGTTAAACGGGAGGCAATGCGAGGCCGACGACCTGGGCGATGATGAACGCGCGTCATCGTTCTATCTCCCAATCGTTGGGAATGCGCACGTTGTCGCGGTGTACCTCGATTCGTGTTGCCATGCATCACAGTTTGTTTCTTCTATCTGATTTTGACGATATACTACATACAAGCATATATCTGCTCTATATATTGGTCTATCGTGTCGCGGGATGGGCCGGCGCCTTGTGGCCTCCTTGATGCACGCCGACGTTGACGTAGCTGACGCGATTGGTCGAGCCCTGTTTCGACGCGGACCGTAGCATCGACGCCATCTTGTGCCAGAAATGTCGCTTGCGCTTGGCCTCGCGCGCCGCTTTCCGTTTAAGATTGTTGAATTTGATGATTGTAAATCGAAAGATCGAGGCATATTCGTCCTTGGAGATCGTTTGTCGGTCCTTGCACGCATAGTAGTAGTACCCCGTCAGCACGAGGCAGTAGCCGAGCGCAGCAAACCCGGCCGTGCCATGATCGTTTTGAAACCCACCAATGATTGAAAGCGCCAATAGACCATAGACAACCATAGCAAAGATCGCGCCGGTCAAGCCAAAAGGTGCTTTGAACCCGTTGCTCTCGGCCTTGTACGTGGTCCGGAGCAAGATGAAGCCGACCAGCTGTGCAACATAGCACATGGAGCCGACGAGAAGAAACATATTTTGAAGCGCCCTGCAAAATTCGCGGCTAAAGTAGCTCAGAAGGCACAAAATGTAGCCAAAGCCGCACGAGAGAACCATCGCTCGAGTTAGTCCGCGATGTCCTAGATTCTTGAGCCCGAGCCACGGTGGCAGTAGCGTCGAGTCGGCCAGCGCTTGAATCAGTCGACCACACGGAAGGACAAAGCCCGCGGCCATGCCCATGTGCGCGGGGAAGAGCAGCCACGCACCCACCGACGCGGAGATACCGTACGCCATTGCAAGGCCGTTGTTGAGCGGGTACAAGGCCGTTGTCGCCGCGGCAATCCCTGGTGGCAGCGATGGGACGAGGCACACCATCCCGACGTTGGAGAAAAAGAGAAGCGCGACCGCGCCGAGGATGCCGCGCGGAATCGTCGTCTTGGGCGTGGTCGTCATATCGGTCACGAGCGAGAGACACTCGATACCTGCGAACGCCCACGTCGTGTACGGCAGCCATGCGAAATACGCACTTGAAATATCCCCCGAGGCCCAGACATGTGTGGCATTATCGACCGGGTCTAACAAATACCCAAATTGACCGAGGTTGGCGAATTTCAAGGTCCCAAAAATGTAAAGCACGGCCGGGGCGTAGCAGAGCAGCGCCAAGGCGATCGAGGCGTTCCACATGATGCGTCCCGGAAGCGAGTAAAACGCAACAAAGGACGCATAGCAAACGAGCCAAATCAACGGCTCCCAGCGCTTGTCCCAGCCGAGCTCGCCCGTGACGAGCTCGCCGATGAAAAGGACTGAGACCGCAGTCGACGCGGTATATTCCAGCAGCTCGAGAAAGCCGACCATGTAGCCGCAATAGTACCCCAAGGTCACCCGCGACAAGCCATACGTGCCACCCGAGAAGGCGATTTTGCCGCAGATTTCGGCCGCGCACGACATGTAGATGACGTATGTGGCGCTCATGACGAGCTGCGACGCGACGTAGGGCACGAACCCGGTCGCCAAGGCGGCGTTCCACCCATAGTACTGCCCGGCCATGACGCAAACGAGGCCGTGGCAGCAGACATGCAGCGCGGTCGCGCAGTCGCGCGGGGCCACCTCGGCAACCGCCACGTCGCTGACCTTGCACGTGATGGTGGTGGGGGTCTCGGGGTGGGCTGCTTCGGTCGTCGGTTGCGGGTGGACCTTGATGACTTGGCCCGTCGCGCCTTTGGTCGAAGCGACCATGGCTGGCTGGTTTCAGAATGACGCTATGAGACAAAGATAGAGAAACGTGGCGCGAAACCTATCCGGATACGGAACCGGTACGACATACCAACACCTCCATCTGATTGGCGGACGTCGTTTTGGCGCTTGGCCATTGGCCGAAACGCTGGATATATAGCGATGCGTTGCTGCACGTGTCCAGTTGATTTGTGAAGAGGAAAAACCGGTTAGCCAAGCCGTACCCTAGTGGCTACCTCCGGGGCAAAACCCACCTCAACTAAAGCCTCAAGCCAGAGACGGGAATTCTGCTAGAGGTGGCCACCAACCTTGTGTGTGGAGCACCCCGAGAACGTCCCGTTCTGACTCGGTGGAACGCTACCCATGGGCGGCAGACGAGAGGCGCCTCAATCGATCCCATTGTTTTCTTGAAGGACTATGTATTAATACCTCGTGAACATTGGTATACGATGGTGGCATTTCGTCCAATACATTCACACGCAATTACTTGGACTTAAAACTATAAAATGCGATCAATAAGCCGACACAAGCTTCTTCATGAGCGCCTCTTGGTCGACGAGCGGTCGCGGAATCGGCTTGTCGTTGCCACCGAGGTAGTTGCACCACACGAGCGAGTCGTCGGCCTCGATCGTTGGGTTGTAAAACGTCGAGTAGCCGCAAGCAATCTCGTTGACGCCCGGGTCCATCGAGTTGGAGAAATGACCGGTCGTCATCCAGTTGCCGTCCTTGCTCTTGTTCGAGTTGTAGTCCCAGAGCTTCTCTTCGCCCGAGTACCAGCTCCAAGCAGGACCGGCGCTGGTCATGCAGTCGCTCTTGCAGACGATGAAGCTGGCGAGGTTCTGGTTGCCGGGCGGGCCGCCGTGGCCACCGCCGTTCTGCTGCGGGTTGGAGTCGGCCCAGGCCTGCATCTTGACGCCGAGCTCGTCGTTCCAGGTGACGGGGCCGAGGCCGTGGGCAGCGCGAATGACCGACGTCTGGTAGATGATCTGCGTCTTGAGGTCGCCGGTGACGGGACGAGGTCCGAGCGTCGGCTTGTTGGAGGGCGACGGCGACGGACTGGGGTCTTCGGTCGGGTAGACGGGATCTTCGGACGGGTAGTCACTGGGCGCGTCCGAAGGTTTGTCGGAGGGCTCGTCGGTCGGGTAGGCGGAGCCTGAGCCAGAGTCGGAGGGGCTCTTTCACTGGGGTTCGACAGAAGGCTCGTCACTGGGCTCGTCGAAGGCTCGTCACTGGGCTTGTCGGAAGGCTCGTCACTGGGGCTCATCGGACGGCTCATCGGAAGGCTCATCGGACGGCTCGTCCGAAGGGCTCGTCGTCGCAAGGCTCGTCAGAGGGCCCGTCGTCATTTGGATCGACGGACCCCGACCCCGAATCGTCGCCATCATCGCCATCGTCGTCGTGATCATCTCCGTCGTCGTCGTGATCATCTCCGTCGTCGTCGTGATCATCGTCGTCGTCGTCGTCGCCGTCGTCGTCGCAGTCTTCCGTGAGCTTCATGCGGGGCGGCGTCGTCTCGCACGTCGGGCGGCACGTGGTCTTGCCGCTCGTAGTGTCGTCAGGGCCGACGCAGCAGACCCAGTTCTTGGTGGCGCATGCGTCGTGCTGGCGGTGGCACACATGCCACGCGGGCTGGGACGCCGCGTGGGCGCCGGCCGCGAGCAAGGCAGTGATGCACACGAGGCGCTGCATCTGTGGCAGCGTCGAAAAAAGAAAATGACACTGCGCTCACGACCAGCTCGACGCGCTTGTCAAAAGATCGCCATGCGGTGACCAATCTAACACCACATGGGATCCGACGGGCTGTCGACGAGCGGTCGAAGCTTCTTGAGGTCCACACGGTCCCTTGCCTTGCATGCATTTCGCAAGTGAAACGGTGTGAGCAACGATGAGCGAGTACATTTCTATACTATTACTTGAGAGGCCGAGCTCTCTCTCTATACACATGATCTCGACGTCTCATGCATTCCTTCTGTCGCCGCTCGACTCAGTCCAGCACGTCACAGGGTTGCACATGCTTCCAAGCGCTTTCCGAGCCGATGTGTGCGCCGACTACGAGCACGAGCCTTGCACCTAGATGAGGAAGGAGGGCTTCGCCATCAAGGCATTGCAGGACGCCCTGGCGTGCGTCGTTGCGGCACTCGAGCTCCTCCTTGCACGGTCCCAATACCATGTATCAATCAATCAAACGTGTTTGCGTTGAAATGAAGTTGGCAGAAACTAACTTAAAGAGTTCGCATACGTAGTGCTACGCCTGAATGCGTGGGAGTTGGCACCGGCACTAGGTCGTTGGGAGCGAGCTGCGCACGGAGAGATCCATCCCGTGGTGGACCCCACTCACCGAGGGTTAGCTCGCGCGAGGTCGTACGCAGGCTCCTGTACTCGGACCACCCGACAGAGGAGTGCAAGAATACCATGTCTATATACACGAATCCTGGACGACGATCGCACGCAAGGAGAAGCTGTGGGATGCACAGCAGAAGCTTCGAGCAAGCAGTATGAGACTCGGCTGGCGTTCCAGTGCATTACCGCCGCTTCACAACCACGTGCACGATCGTCGACCAGAAAACACATGTCTGCTCCTCGAAGCGTTCTACCCTAGCCCTTTCGCGCAACCGACACGATGCCGGGTCAGGGACGACCGCTGTGCCACCAAGCAAACGAGCTTCCGTACGCAGACCCCAGCCGCGAGAGATATATGCTAGCCGCTCTCACGGCGACGTTGTTGTTGAAGTGGGTCTTCTATTACTATAGATATAAACAATGCTAAATAAGAATGTCGGACTTTCTTCGTTGTGTGTACTCGGTTGAGGGACTTGATTTAGGCAGGCGGAGGCACGAGCGCGATCCGCGGGACGAGGTGACGTCGCGGCCACTCGTGTTGGGCCAGGAGCCGGAGAAGCCGACGAAGAGCAGTCTCACGGCGACATCATTCGGGCGGCAACACGGTTCGGGTTGTGTGTGTTTGATTGAATGTGAATGTGGATTGTACGCATGGTTTACAAAGTATAAGGGTGCGTTCGGTTCACCCAAAGTGCGCACATTTCCCACACTTCGAGGCCATCCACGCACTAACTTCGAAAAAAATGTGTTGCGTGGCGCATTCGGTTCAAATCCGCACAACTTGGCGCACTTTCCGGAAAAAGAGCACACTTCCAAAGCAGGGATGGCAGATTTGCTGTTTTTGCTGGTATTTGTCGAAAACCCGAGGGACCCAAAAATGACAGGGGTATTTCAGCAAAAACACCACTTTTTGCTGAAGTACTATACCGTTGTGTTGGATGGCTCTAGTTCGCCCTTGTGCCTGGAGACCGCTTCCTGACTTCCGACCGTGAACGCGCCACCTTGAGATGGCCAATCCAGTGCTGCGGCACGTAAAAAAAAGAGTTCAGACTCTTACAATGGACAAGATATTTTTAAACGAAAAACATGGAAACATGGAGCAAAATCAAATACAAAGGGCAGGCTTATTCGATTTTGCTGTTTTTATCCATTTTTTCCGGCGCCCTGGGGCGCTAAGGGCATCTCTTTTAAAATGCACTCTCGCTTTGTAAGTAATATTATGAAACGTAGCTAATAAACCTTTGAAGCAAAGTGGATTGTTTCTTACACAAACCAAGTTGTTTACGCAGACTCCAGTAAATAAAATAAAAACTGTGCCTTGTAATTTTATTAGCTCGGTGCGCTCCGAAGGCCTGCGGTGCCCTTGACCGACAGTGCGATGGACCACTGCCTTGTGCAGTTCACGTGGGCCAAAGCTTAAAAAAGCTGTGGGCCAAGAGCATGTGCCAAGAGCGTACTAGTAGTACCCCGACGGCCGTGACATCGTTGAGACCAAGTGCACTGTCTGCAATAAGGTCTTCATCAAGCGCACGACCAAGCGGCTGCCCGAACCTGGTGACTCTCGCAAGTGTGCTCGCAGGCTGGCATTGAGCTTGGCTTTTCGCGTCTCGCGCGATTCAAGTCCAAGACGACCAACCGTCTGAACTCGGCCAGTACGCAAGCTCGGTTCATCATAGCGAACACTACGCCCAAGATCTTGGGCCCAGCGACTGGGACGACATGTACCACGACCAATTTCGCGCTCAATACATCGACAAGAAGTTTGCTTTCAACGAAGAGCGCCTTTTCCGTAGTTTCTTGAGCTAATACATATCCGACTTTTGGGTTTCCATTTTTTCACCTCGCATTTTGGGCGTTTTCCACTTTTCAGTCGAAGCGCCTGCCAACCCTGCTTCAAAGTTCGTCTCGGCCGGGATCCCGAGACAAACCTTGGGCGCACTTTCCACTGCTTTGGGAAAAATCCTTTCCTCGATCCGAAAATCCTGATTTGGGTCCTATTTTCACCCTGTCCTTTTTTGCTTGCTTGGTGCAACATGAACCAACGCAAGGACGCTGCGCGCCACACCGCTCCCCATAGACGCGCTTGACGCCTAAGGACTATAGGTGCGCTAGGAGCGCTCCACCATGCTGCAACTACATGCGCAGAGCGCGCTCTTGTAGCTTCCAGATCGACGCAGTAGAGCCCACGGAACCCAAGCACAGGCCGCCGCGTCGCGCCATCCGGGCGCCGCCGTCAGTCTGCGCACGAGTATGAGCATCGCATGTATGGTACGCCGCGTCAATGGTCATCGCATGAGCTCTCCTGGAGTAGCCATAGTCATCGCAGCGATGATCCACGGTTGCCGCTCGGTGGCCGGCCGTCCGCCGCCGCGGGCCATTCATGTGTTGTCCTAAAAGTCCGAAAGTCGGCGTCCATCGATGAACCGAACGCGATTTGCAATCCACGCAACAAAAAGCGCGCTCCGGAAAACGTGAAGTTGTGTGGATTTGCGATACGCACTTTGAAAGCAGGTGGTGAACCGAACGCACCTTAACTTTACAGTTTACGACCGGGCGACGTTGCAGACGCCGGTACAGGTTGCGCCCGTGATGATGCCGCCCTGTGTCGAGCCGGTGAGAACGGCGTAGGCCTCCGGGACAAGCTCGACATAGGCGTCGGTCGTCAAGCCGACGCCTGATGCCTGGAACGAAATCACGCACGAGACGCTCTTGCCCTGCCACGTCACGGTCATGGACTGGTCGCACGACGGCGTGTAGATATTGGCACCCGGCGGCTTGGGCGAGCCACAGAAAAGTGTGCCGGTGGGAAAGCGCGACTGGATGCCAGGGCAGTCGACGCCGACGTGGTCGGGCACGGCTAAGTTGACCAGAATCGGCGACCCGTTGCCCGGCTGGCTCGACGGCGACGGCGTTGGCTTGGGGGCGTCCGTAGGGGCGTCGGTTGGATCATCCGAAGGCTCATCGCTCGGATCATCGCTCGGCTCATCGCTCGGCTCGTCACTCGGCTCGTCGCTCGGCTCATCGCTCGGCTCGTCACTCGGCTCATCGCTCGGCTCGTCACTCGGCTCATCGCTCGGCTCATCGCTCGGCTCGTCACTCGGCTCATCGGACGGATCGGAGCCTGAACCGGAGTCCCATCCGGAGCTCGAGTCGGATGAGTCCCAGTAGTCCGACTTGCGCATCTCGGGCGAGTCCCAGATGCAGTCGCTGCCGCCGGGGCGGCACGTCGTCTTGCCGGACTTGACATCCTTGGGTCCAACGCAGCAGATCCAGCTGTCTTTGGCGCAGTAGTCGTGCTGCATGCTGCACGGCTCGTAGTCTTGCTTGACGTCAGCAACCGCAACCGCGAGAAGCGCGCTCAAGAGGTAGATAGCCTTCATAGATCGAATTGGAAAATGAGATACACAAGTGCAAGCCAGAGTGCAAGCGCGGTGCCGGATTTCCAAATCGAACGCGACCGGCTGCATTGCCCGGCACCAGCTGTCGCATACAAACCCCAAGATAGCCCCAGGACATCCCACTAGCGTGTAATGGTCGGCGCCGCCGCACGCGCAATGATACCGTGGTCACTCACATTGCATTTGATCTCGCTTTGCTGCGGTGCCGTTGATTTGGCGAGCTTCCAGAGAGGAAGGACAGGAAGCGAGTGAATTGCAACGGTAGAGCACTGTCATATCATTGGACTCGACTGTGGCGACATCAAAGTGCTACCTTACTCTAACGAGCCACACGTCTTTGCCACCGCGGCTTTCTTAAACACTAGTGAGTTATATCGCTCCTACACCATTGCTCATTCACGTTTCGCTGTAAACAACTCACGTCTCAGTCGCTTTGGCTGCCTCTCGAGGAGCTATGCCCGCTGTCTCTGAGACTCTGTGACGCTACCCGGCGCCGACGACATAGCCACGAGTAGAACACTTGTGTTTGGGACGACGACGATGCGCGCCCCGACCTGCAGCCACGTTCCATCTTGACATTGGAACAAACACGATGTAAAAACATGCAAACGGACGCAAGGGGCTGCGAAGAAATGTCGAGCGATTCCGTTTTAAAGACGGTCGAACGGCCCGAAGTGCGCTTTTGTTGGATGGGTTTTAGCTGCACTTGTGGACAGAACTCTCCCCTTCATGGTTGATCTAAGCAACCCAAGACGACGTTCCTTGCCTCGGGCAGTAAAGAATGAGGTTGCAGTTGCTTCTCAACGAAAGAGACGGGAGATATAGAAACCGTCGCGTGCTATCTCGGTTGCAATTGCTTTTTGACGTTTAATTGTGGACAAGAAGATTTTATTAATGTACAAATCGACGACAGAATGGGCGCGATAGAGTGTGCTTACGAGCGGGCGACGTTGCAGACACCGGTGCAGGTACCGCCGTGGAGCTGGCCGCCGTACGTCTCGCCGGTCAAGACCTTGTACGCCTCGGGGACAATCTCGACATACGCGCCCGTGGTCAGGCCGACACCGGTGGCCTGGAACGAAATCACGCACGTGACGCTCTTGCCCTTGTACGTGATCGTCATCGACTGGTCGCACGACGGCTCGTAGATGTTGGCCCCCGGCGGCTTGGGCGAGCCACAGAAGAGCGTGCCAGCGGGGTGGCGCGACTTGATACCGGGGCAGTCGACGCCGACGTGGTCGGGCACGGCCAAGTTGATCAGAATCGGCGAGCCGTTGCCCGGTTGGGGGCCGCCGTGGGGGCCGACGTTGGGGCCTTCGTCGGGGCGACCGTGGGGCCGGCCGTCGGCGCCGGAGTGTACGTCGTCGGGGCAGGCGTCATCGTTGGCGAGAGGCTCGACGGCGCCGGGGGGTCGGTCTTGTTGTCGCACGACTTGGCGGCGTAAGCAACCGCAGCCGCAAGGATGATGGAGAGGAGCTTCATGTTAGTTGTTGGTTGGTGCAAAATGCAAAGTGAGTTTGTGAGGTGCAAAGATCTTCAGTAAGAGTGGCCGTGACATGGCCAACACGTGCATTCTTGCAATCGACCTGTAGACCAGAGCGGAACTTCGAAACAGTTTACATAAAATAGTGTGAATATGGACATCAACCTACCTACTACTTGTACCTCGTTGATATGGGCAGACAGTGCTCGTCACGAGCACCAATACACAACAGAGCGTCTGGTACAGTTATGGCTGCTCGGCTTGGGGATCGTACGAGGCAGGTTGGACAGAAAATGTATGGCTATGATCTAACACTATTCAAGTTGGGAGACGGTCCACGCATCTGGCTTTATCTGGTGGATGGTTGAAAGTAGATATTACACGAGCAACAGGCGGCTACAAAGAGTCATGCCGAACAACACAACTTGGTTCGCACCATCATGGTACGACTGTTGCACGACAGCCCTGACTCTGTGTGCACGCCCCGGCTACCTCCCTGGATGACGACGAGCTGCGCAAGTCGCAGCCGCCGAGTCGTAGGTATGTAATTCTGCCCAGTCTGGACATGATGAACGATAGACTAGGAAAGTGGCCTCGTCTAAGCCCATGTGCCGATTGCTGGGATTCTGCCTCATTACAGACATGTCTGCAGGTCGTGACATTGAAATTCGAACGTGTTACGACGCGCGCGTGCAAGCATGGAGGGGTAGGGCTAGTAACGTGTCACGCTGGGACGCAAACACAAAGAAGCTCGCACTGCACCAACACTACTCTGCTACAAAAACACTTGATGGGCAGAACATTCACATGTAGTAGCGAGCGATGTTGGCACAGTCGCAGCAGCGCTGTGATCTGTTGCTCGATACAAGTAGACATCTATTACATGTACTACAGTATTGTAGTACTACTGCGACCCGCTGTTCGCGCAGTCGTTGCCATCCCACTGGCACGCGGCGTTCCAGCAATTGCGCTGACAGACCTTGTCGCCGACTTCAACGTTGGAGCAGAGTGGGGAACAGACAGCATAGCACCCAGCTGCGAGGGTCGCATTGCAGTAGTCGCTGCCGTCGAGTACAATCAATCGCGATGCGATTGCGTCCGTGGTGGGCACGGCAGCGATCGGATTGTTGCTGAGATCAAGAAAGAGCGCGGGCTTGGCGTCGATGAGGTGGGTTGGCCACTGCGTGAGGCTGTTTTGAGCGGCTTCGAGCCGCGTCAAGTGCGGCAGCGATGCGAGTGCAGCCTCGGGTAGAGTCGTGAGGCGGTTGGTCGACACAACGAGCCTCTCGAGCGACGAGAAATTGGCGAGAAAGTGCGGCATTTCATCAAATGCATTGTCGTTCAGGATCAACCACGCCACGGTCGCCCACGATGTGCGGACCGTCGTGGGAAGTCGCGAGATGTTGAGGCACCCCGTGATTGAGAGCGTTTGCAAATTGGGTGGCAGCTCCAAAAGGGCTTCTGGAATGCCACGTAGTGGAATATAGCGCAAATTGAGCGATATCAACGACGGTGGCCACGACGCATTGCGTTTTGACCATGACGTGGCATGCCCAGATTCAATCGTGAGGCCATAGAGGTTGGAAAAGGGCGCCAACAATTGCAGGTCAGGTAGTGTCGGGCAGTTGGTTAGATGCAAGAAGAAGAGGCGGTCGCCCAAGCGTTCACTTGAGAGTGTCGTCGCATCGATCGACACATTGTCGTGGCCGTTGAAATGGTACAAGATGCACTGACAGGTCGACCTTAGCCACGGCGCGACCGCGAGTTCGCAGTTGGCGGGACAGGCGGGCCGCGGCGATAACACCATGGCCAGCACCATACTGCCAATGACAAGATGGACCATCAAAAAGACATGGGTACAACGCGACCGAGGCTTTCGGAACGAAAGTGTGTCCTTGACGGACGCCAGCGTGCGCAGGTGCGCCGAGAGGAGTCGGCTCGGCACAGCGGGCGCGGCGACAGCAAAAATGCTTTGCACGAGCTGGCGCGAGCTGAGGTAGCTCATCCCAAAGAGCACGAGCTTCCCAATGAGATCGAGGAGCGTGCCAGGGACCAAGCAGCGCGTCAAGAGAACGTACTCGGTCGTCCACGCCACGCCATACCCGAGGCGCTTGTCCTGAAACGTCACATGGACCACGGGTACGAGAAAAAAGGCCAAGTTGACGCCGGTGGCCAAGAGAAAACCAAAAAATGACCAGAAGAAGCGCGCCATGTGATGCCGTACAAACGGGTGCGACGAATAGGAGAGCCACGGCGGAAGGAGGCACGAAGCGACGAGGGTGAGCGAGTAGGCTGTCGTGACGGCGCTTGAGACTGCACTCGCGCTGAGCTTGTACGCCTGGACGAGTTGCACTGCCGAGACAACGCACTGAATCGATTGCGAGAGCCATGTTGGCGCCTTGCGAAGAAGCGAGGTGCCACTCGCGGCGTGGAGCCGTCGACAGCGCGCCGGTAAAAGCATCTCGATCGCAGCCGCCAAGTGCAAGAGTGCGAACGCCGCATACAGCGGCCCCGACGCCGTCTGCATGGCGTACACTTGAAACTTGATCGCTGTCGAGGGTGTCCCCGTGATCATGAGCAGGCTCGCGAGCGCGAGGTAGACTCCCGACGCAATGAACTTGAGAAAACTGATGATAAGGAACGGACGGCGCAGGGTGTACTCGATCGACGGCGGCGCCGGTCCTGTTGCTACAGCCGCCGGCGCAACGAGGACGCGGCTATTGCGTTGCATCATCCAGGCGAGTATGACGTATTGCGAAAGGACACCGCTGTGGACACTCTCAGTCAAAACGTGCAGCGCTAAAACAGGTTTCGGAGGTATATTTAGCGTGCTCTCGGCGAGTGGATGGATGACGAAATATGCAGCGAACTCGCAACGACCACGTGCTGACGCCATCTCTTCCGCATTCCAGAGTAGCGATATCCAAAGCCTTTGTGTTCGTCGTTGCTGCATTTGATTTCAACGCCAACACATAGGAAATAATTATCAATTGCGGACGCCACCTCTGTCGCTGGCGTCGATCGAGGACCTCGATAGCCTGTGTACCTCTAGACCACGACGCTTGGAAGATAAAGTGTGTCGTCATGGGCCTCCCTCGCGGTCGCACGACGATTCAAGATGAGCAAGAACAAGCTCCCGCGCCGCCGCCGCCGCCCAGCAAGCGAGCGAGTCACGAAGTAGAAGGAGGTAGTTTGCCTCTACGTATGCAAGGGTTTTGGGCCTCAAAAGATAACGCAAAACACGTTTATACATAGGGATACGAGCAAGTACGCGGTAGACATGGACAATAGATTGATCACCACCACGCGTGCGGCGTTTTCAAAGGCGCGTTGGGGGGCATGGCCCGAGCGAGAAAAGCCTGCACGCAAGGCGACGCCGCGGCCCATTGGTCAGCGTCGACGTCGTGCTGGCGTCGGCGTACGTCGCAGCGCCAGAAGGACGCGACGTGCCACAGCACAAAGCTGCCGCTGCCGAAAACAACATACGCAAGGGGCATGTAGCTGGACACGGCGGACGCCAATATGCCAATGTAGACGAGCCACTCGGCGTGCCGCGTCATGGTGGTCGCAGCCTCGAGCGACGCGCGGCGGGCGGCCGTGTGCTGGTGCAAGCAGTACGCGTACATGGCCTCACCGCCTGTCTTGCCAGGAGGCACTTCGATGCTGGACGCGGTCACAGAGTACGGCAAGTAGCGACTCGGTAGGAGGAAGAGGGCGCTGAGAAGCGCGGCGAGGACGCCAAAGGCGACGGCGACGGCGAGCATATCCCCGTCCTGCGCTGCATCCTGGCGCTCTTGGGCGCGTATCTTTGTGCGATCTTGCCGCTGATTGGCTTCGTTTTCATCACGACCGTCTCGGTGTATTTCAGATTTGGATATTACGACGCGCTATTGAGACAGTACGAGAAATATGGATAGAAAAAGAGAATGTATAGAGATATACCACACGCATGATGCCTGCACAGTGGTTGGAGTACACTTCGTGTCCGCGAGCTGCGCTAGGTTCTGTAGCCAGCGCAGTCTGCGGAGAGGCTGCAAGGACACCGATCAGAAAAGACAAGATTTGTCTGCGCTCGCAACCTTCGATCGTCCCAATGCGGCGGCCACGATGCACTGTTGTAGATACGGGAACGAAATTTGTCCATCCAACTTGGTGAAAGAGCGACGTTTTAGTAGCACTAACACGAGATGTACACGACCACAATTCCTTGGAAGACAAGGTACTAGTTGTACTGGACTCTAGAGCAGATTGACCTGGAGGCTGGTGGTGCAGGTAAAGGACGACGAAGAGTTTCAAAGGCAAGAAAACCCAACAGTATCGAGCACGTTCTCAAGCGGCAATGCACCCGAAGCTCTCTTCAACGACGCCCCTAGTGAGATAAACCTCGGATTTTGCGATTTGCGTCGCTGGACCGAAGATACACCACAATGTGGCTAGATGTGGTTATCTATGGCACATGCCATATGTAACCGTTTCGACGATTTCTCTCGCTATACACTTCACACGGCACCGGGGCATATCATTTCGTGCTCTCGAAAGTGTCTTTTATCGATGGACCAAGTTTGAGCGATTTCATTTTGAAACGTGATTTGGTCGATCGCAGCACTCGACAACGCTGGGGCGGCGGCACCGGCCCTCAATGACATCTGATTGGTAAAAACATTCAGAAAATAACCAATGAAATCCGCTTGATGGCATTTAAAGTATGTAAAAGTAATAGCTTTGGAATCGTATGTGGATATGATGCTCCGAAAAACATATAGCGTCCTATAAGCGGCATGATGTATGCATTATGTGGCATACGCCAGCAAGCATGCCTAAAACAGACGCCCCCCATACAATTGTATTAGCACCTCAAGTAGTTACACGTCCGTTCGTCCACTCGATGTCATAACTATCTTACATTATGGCGCACGACATTATTGTGCTCAAAGCGTCATCGATTCATAGAGGCGTGCTTTACTGCGAACCACCGCCCGCGCAGTCTCCGAGGTCCCATGCACAAACTTCGTCAAAACAGTTGCGTTGGCACACACGGTCGCCGAGTTCGGATCGGGAGCACATCGGCGAGCATCCGCCGTTGCAAGCACTCCCGAGCGATGAGCAGAGTGGCGTGCCATCCAGAACAACCGATCCCGAGGTGATGGCGCGCATCAGCGCCGTCGGTAGACTCGGGAGTGGAGCGATCGGGTTGTTGCTCAGATCCATGTCCAGCTCGGGTCTCGAAGCAAAGAGGTCGATAGGAAACGCCGTGAGGTTGTTTTGAGCGAGCTTGAGAAAGGTGAGCGATGGCATCGCTGCTAGCATCGCGTCGGGAACGACTTGGATCTGGTTGCCAGAGAGCACGAGTACCTCGAGGTCCGTGAGCCCATCGAGCCAGCTCGGCACGGCGGTCAACTGGTTGCTGTTGAGAATTAGCGAGCCCAAGTGGCGCCACGACGACACGAGCGACGCTGGCAGCGAGTCCAGGTGCGCACTTCCCGCAATGGTTAGCGTCTTGCACTGCGCCGGTAGCGTTGTCAACGCTTGCGGTATCGTCGAGAGGTTGGAGTAGCGCACGTTGACCGCCATGATCTGGTCGGGCCACCCGTTTGGACCGAGAGGCCAGTCGGTGAGATTCGAAAACTCAATCGTGAGGCCAAAGAGCGTTTTAAACGGCACCAAGAGTGAGAGATTGAACCCGTGCTCCAATCGACACCCGGTCAACTGCACATGGAAGAGGTCGGGGCCAAGCAATTCGGGCGATAACTGCACGGCAGCGTCCGGGTCCAAGCACTCGAGGTGGTAGTAGGTACAATGACACGCGCGGCTAAACCACGGCGCGGTCGCGAGGCGGCAGCCGCTCGGACAGGTGGGTCGTCGGCAGGCGTGCACGATCGCATATATAACAACGGTCGCGCCGAGGAGCACGTGGAAAGCAACATAAATGAAGAGGAGTCGGCGGCGCGGTCGGTCCACCGCTCGCTTCACCGCGGTGAGTGACGGGCCGAGCGGGCTAAAGCTCATCATTGTTGACGCCGCCACCGTGGTCGTCACGTCGGGTGCGACGGCGCGAAGGAGGCGCTGGACATTGACCCAGCTCGCAAGGCGCAGCGTCATTTTTTCGAGCAAATCCAGCGGCGAGTTGGGCACGAGGTACCGGATGAGGAGCGTGTACTCGGTGCCCCACGCGAGCGAGTTGATGGCCTTGAGGTCATAGACTTGCACATACCCGACGGGAACGACGATACACGCAAAGGCAATTCCCGTGGCGAGTAGAAAGCTCGAGAGACTTGTAAAGAAGAGGTAATAGTGCTTTCGGTCCGGGTGCGACGCTGCATACAAGAGCAAGAGAGGACTCGCGATCGCCGAGACCCCGACCAAAATGGCATTGATCGTAGCGAGGCGCGTGTTGACGGCGCGCTCGCTGAGGTGGTACGCCTGCAGCACCTGCGCGGCCGTCACGAAGGCTTGCAAAGCGAGCCGCGGCGCACTGAGCAAGCCAAACGACGGTAGCCACTCGAGATGACAGCGCCACGACGACATGGTCCGCCGTCGACAGCAGCGCGGCAGCAAAATATCCAGAATGCCCGCGAGATTGAGCAGCCATACAAAAAAAAGAGCGGCGCCGTCAGCGTCGGGCCGGCGAATACTTGGACGGCGAGCTGCTCGGTGGTGAGGGAAAAGCCCACGAGGTACCCGAGGATGAGGCAGTAGGCCGCCGAGAGCACGTACTTGAGGATCGCGATGACATAGGCACCGTAGCGTAGCCTCTCGCGCTTGCTGGACATGTGGACGAAGCGCCTGATAAGAGAAAACACGCAAGGCGCGTACTAGTAGTGGGTTTAGTAGAATGGGGGAGCAGGAATAGACAACGCGGTTATCGAGTGGCGTCTTTCCAACGGTTAACGTAACCGTCGGTGTTGCCGATTTCTCCGATCCAGAGTCCAGTCGACAGTGGGCTTCCGTCGCCGAGCTTCCTCTTCGTGGGCTTCGTCTCGCTTCGATTATACCTTTAGTAGCTGCAGCGTGCACTGTCTGCCGCCTTCCGGTGCGGCGCCTGCTGCCGTTATTGATCGATGCCATGGCGTGATACACTGTACATTACACTGGATGGAGCTGCAATGAGCAAAGAGGCCGGCCTTTCTGGCTGAGCGGTGCCAGCTCATGAACACCCGAGCAAACGTCATTCCATAGGCAAAACTAACTCGATTGGTTGACGCGTTAGATGGCGGCGACCGCAACGACAAGGGCCGCCATCGACAAGAGGACCGAGGTTGCGCTGGACGTGGCCTTGGGCGCGGCAGTCGTAATCGTCGGCGCCGTCGTCGTCGCGTTGGTCTTGGGCGCCTTGGTCAAGACGACCTTGTCGCACGCGAGCTTCTGGTCCTTGCACGTCTGCGCCTTGGGCGCCGGGCACTCAGCATCCGAGTACTTTTGCACGCAAATCTATCCACATATCAACATTTCAACTGGATACGTTGGAGGCACGGAGATACCATCCAGCATTCGGTGCCGCCGTTGGGCACGTCGGACGCCTTGACGCAGCCCAGGTCCTTGCACGTTTGCGTATCTTCCGGCATGCCGATCGCATTGCAGTGGAACATGCACATGTCGGAGGTCGTCGAGGCCGCGCTCGCATTGCCCGGTGCCCAGATACCCAGCGTGCAACTCGAGTCGGATGCGACAAGCTGGCGCGATGCACATGCGAGCGTCGGAAACTTGGCGTCGGCAAGCGGCGCCTTGAGATAGCGCGTGTTGCGGGCGTTGAAGTCGGCGAAGCGCAAGTGGTTGTTGCGCATGACCATCTCGTCCGAGAGGAGAAGCATGCGCCCGTGGAAGCCGCGGACAATGTCGGACGACGCGTCGCGGGGCATGCGCATGGCGTGGACGACGGCGGGGAATGCCAAGTCGTCGGTCGCGATCCACTGCGACCAGCCCTCGCCGGCCATGAAGACGAGCTCGTCCGACTTGAGGATCGGCTGCACCCACTTGTTCTGGATCTGGATGTAGAGACCCGTCGTCGGGTCCGGGTTGGCAATCACGTGGTGCTCCGCGTTGAAGAAGACGGGCGCCGACGTAAAGAGACCGCCGCCGAGGTCCGTGTGCGCTTCGAGCGAGAACTCTATGCCTCCGTGTGAGATACCATGCGTTCAAGGACGATGTTTCGTGTACCTTGCTCCTCGTCCGCTGCGTCGGCCGACGCCGGGTTGGTGTACGCGTGGAAGTGCTCGAGGTGCTTGCCCTGCTCGACAATGTCCTGGACAAGCGACGTCTGCGTGGTCGCATCGAGGAGCTTGGCAAACGAGAGCGTCGCCGTGTTCAAGACCGCGTTGAACGACCCGAGCGCGGCGACGTACTCGGGGCACGACGCGAGCAAGGTCGCCGGCACTGTGCTCACGTCCA